CATTTTCTAACCTACCACCAGTTAGTTTTACATCTATGTTCTTTAAACCATTTTGGCCTTGCTGAATTTAGTGCATTTCTTAAAGCTGGTATGAAACAGTTAGGTTGAGAGTAAGAAATAATGTCAACCCTTTGGTAACACAATTCATTCATTATCTCACTTAATCTACACAACAATCCTATGTTAAAAAAAACAAAAAACAAAAAACACTCTCATCCTTAGTTTATCATGAGGAAACCCAGACTCTAGGAATATCAAGTGATTTGTTCAATGTCACTATATAAGCAATGTGATTATCAGAATAAAGAGGTGAAATTATTACACCTTCTGTTCACTCTGGGACTGCCATTCCCCAGGAATAACTTTGTCCCTCTGGGTGACAGAGTGAGTCAATTTGTTATGACTCTTGTTGTATTTGTTACATGATGTTTCCTATGCATATTATTGATAAACCTGTAGTTAGAAATAAAAAAAAATATGCCAGTGATAAAAAAGTCCCAAAGGTATCGTCAGTCTCCCAAATCAAAATTCCCACTTACAGTGAAGGTGTTAGAAAAGGGGGGGAAAACCCCAACAAGTGAAAGCGTGGAAATAGCATTCTGATGTTAAAAAAATAATCTTAGACTTCAAACAGTCTGACAATCCCAATTTATAAATTAGGCAGCGGAGCCAAGAAAATCAGTGATTTGCCAAAGGTAGTAGAATTAGTCACAGGAGAACACAGAGCTCCTGATTTTGAATCTAGTGTTCTTTTCGATGCACTTAAAACACAATTAATAGGCTGGGGCGCCTGGGTGGCGCAGTTGGTTAAGCGTCCGACTTCAGCCAGGTCACGATCTCGCGGTCTGTGAGTTCGAGCCCCGCGTCGGGCTCTGGGCTGATGGCTCAGAGCCTGGAGCCTGTTTCCGATTCTGTGTCTCCCTCTCTCTCTGCCCCTCGCCCGTTCATGCTCTGTCTCTCTCTGTCCCAAAAATAAATAAACGTTGAAAAAAAAATTAAAAAAAAAATAAATAAATAAATAAAACACAATTAATAGGCTGAAATCAGCGTCTACAAAGAGAATTACCAGTTTCCTTTGATTACTGTGGTGTTGGAGTACTTTATACTGCTATTTCTTTCAAAGCCAGACAGAAAAATGCTCATTTTTATTCCAGTATGTCTCTGTGGAGCTTTTTCTTTGTTACAATTTAAATGTTTATCTTTATTCACCTTCTTCTCTTCATTCGCTTGTATTTAGTGCCCCTTTCCTTCATGATTCTCTTCACGAAGATACTCACGAGAGTAAGCATTCGGGGTCTGCTGCTCATGTCTGATTTAGAACACGTTCTGCACCATCTATCGTCCTTCCTGGGGCCTCCAGTGTGAACACACTCCTTTAAGTTTTTACGAGGGTCTGGGGGTTGCTCTTTAAGTCACTAGCGAGGAGAGTGGGGACAACATTGAGGAAAAGAACAGCAGAAGGGAGCCCCAGAGGGCAAGCCCGAGGAGTATCTGGATTGTGAGGGAGGTCAAAAGGAGAAAGTGTGTCTGCCCAAAGCTGGGGGCCTCCAAGACTATTTCGCAAAGAGCTGATCCTAGTGGCAATAAGAAACGAACACAAGAATCTATAGCCTCCAAACCTCTCGTGGAAAGCAAGATAAGAGTAGGTTAGAGAACCTCCAAGAGAGGCTGCTTCGCTAATTTGGAACAGAGAAATAGGAAGAGAACAGAACATTCTCATGCGTGTCTAATCTTTCTTTCACATCGGCTGTTGTCTGACATTTGGACTCCCTTTGATATTGAAATCTTTCCAGGGTTCATTGCTTTTTGGAAAAAAAAGAAAAAGTTTCATATACTTTAGTGATCATGCTAATTTAAACAGAAAACTGTGAGCAAGAGTGAGAACAATGAATGGACTGGTTGTATTATGTTGCACTGTTCCGTGCTAGCAACTTGGTAGAGTTTGGAATTGAGTGCAACAGTCTCCAAGTTTGAAAGATTGGTTCGAGTGTGATTTTGAGAAAGAGTAAAGCTTGTTTCCCTCTCTAAAAAGGGACACCAGGATATAATAGAAAGAACACCGAGTCAGACAGACATTTTCTTTTAATCTCTGCCTTCCATTTGTTGAGCACGTGGCTTGAGTAAGTTACAAAAATGTTTCTTCTTTGAAAGTGTTTGTTTGTTTCACCTGGGTTAACCGTAGATAATACTGTATCTGTAATACTTTAGATATGGCAGAGAGTTAGTCTAGTTGTAACTCGAACAAAGACACCAGACTAAGGCCTCAAAGCCTTATCATTTACCGTGACACTATAAATAATTGAGATTCCACAATTTGTATTTTTTAAAATATTTTTAACGTTTATTTATTTATTTTTTTTTTTGAGACAGAGAGAGACCGAGCATGAACGGGGGAGGGGCACAGAGAGAGGGAAACACAGAATCCAAAGCAGGCTCCAGGCTCTGAGCCATCAGCCCAGAGCCCAACGACGGGCTCGAACTCACGGACCGCGAGATGGTGACCTGAGTCGAAGTCCGACGCTTAACCGACAGAGCCACCCAGGCGCCCCTCACAATTTGTATTTTAAAAATTGTTTCTTCTATCTCCCACAACTTTGACTGTAACAAAGGCAAGTTCAATATAGTTTCTGTCACTCAATTTAAAATGATCTTTTTGACTGTCATGATGAATAAGCTGGTAAGTTCCATTTGATGTGTGGATGAGTATTTGTTTGGTTTGATAATGGGTCGAATACCCTGAGGACACTCATCAGTCTTCACCTCTCTTTTGCACTGACCTGAAAGAGCGTCATAGACTCTACTGGTAGAGATGATCATTTGCAATAAAGCTGTTTCAATGATGTTCGAAATTTCTGGAAACACATGAGGGTGTAACCAGGCAATAATGATGCTGCAAATTATGTTCTTGCATTCAACAATTTTATATTAAATGTCGTGTCTATCTGCAACACGCTGTTAGGTTTGTGGTACCAGAGTAAGCAAAAACAAACAGAATATTTGCTTTCTGGAGATTATAGTCCACTGGAGGAGGTAGATAATCAAATACTTAGGTGAGTAAGTGTGTGATAAACTAAGTTTTCAGAAAAAAAGAGAATCTTGTTTCAGAATGAAATTTGGTCGATTATGAGAGATATCAATGATGGCTACCAGATTTCAGACTTGCAATGTGGAATGGATATTGACATCATTAAGAAAGACAGAGAACAAGTTTTGTACCTTCTGAGTTTGCAGGGGCTTTGAGCCCTCCCAGCGAAGATGTTGAGTAGAGAGTTGGATGTAAAGGTCTACCATTCAGGTGGCTAGCTGTGTAAATGTGAGGCATCGCAGAGACATGATAATTAAGCCGTAACTGATGATAAGATGGCTTTGGAACGGGCATACAGTTAGAGGAAAAGAGGGTGTAGGATAATACCTTGAGGAGCTCCAAAATTTAAAGGTTGGGTAAAAAAGGAAATGCACGCACAGGTTGCCAGAGGGCTAGGAAAACATTAAAAAAGTCTGTGTCAAGGGAGTTAAATAGAGTATTTCAATGGCGAAGATATGGTCAAGAGTGCCAAATGTTGTTAAGAGGGCAAGTAATATAAGGAACCAAAATAGCCATTGGATATAGAAATTGTGAAATGATAGGCAAGATTGATCAGCTATATCAGCAGAATAATGAAGGCAGAGTACAATGTGTTAGGATGAGCTGGAAGGGAGAAAAATGCCGGAAGTAGAGATAAACTTTGTGAAAAGTTTAGTTGAAAAGGGAATGAAAAACCAGGTGATGGTAGGGGTCTGTGGAATATAGGCTTGAGGGGAGGATTTTTTGAAAGGAAGAGACTTAAACTTATTTAAATATTAAAAGAATGCTTCTAGTTATCATAGATTGGTTCAATTTATGGGAATATTAGAGGGATAATCAATAATATGAGATGGGGGAGGAGATAGAATCCCAAACACCAAAGGATGATATTGGCAAAGGGATATCTCTTCTAACATAAGAAGAGATCGTAGGCATAGAGATAGGCTTATACAGGTTCTTCGCGCATGTGTCTATTAATGTCTTATTTTTTGTATTGATTTGAAGGAGTTCCATATTATATGTATATTTACCCTTACCCTTACCTTGCATACATTCCTGGAGTTTTTGTCTTTTAATTTAAATTCATATGTGATTTAGAGAGTAGATGCTAAGAGCTCTCATCACAAAGAAAAAGCCATTTTTTTTTCTTTTGTGTCTGCATCTGTAGGGGGATGATGGATGTCAATTACACTTACTGTGCTATAACTTACAATAAGAGTAAATCAAGTCATTGCACCATGTACCTTAAACTTACACGGTGCTGTCTGTTAGTTATATCTTGATAAAACTGGTGGTGGGGGGGGAGATCAAGTTATCTCCCCTCATTTTCTCTTCTTGCCTCAGGACTCTGGGTTCTTTTATAAGGGTAGGAGTGGAGGCTGGGGGTGGAATATGAATTAATATCTTGTGTTTGGGGCACCATTAGAAAGGCCATTATGCCCCTGCCCCACGTGGCATAGGCTTTTCTTTAATAGCTAGGGGAAAAAAGGTTTCAGTATTTCTAACTGGTTTTAACAAATCTTCCTTTACAGTTCCTACACGTGGCATTCTTCCTATGCACCTTCTTCAACCCAAGTTTATATAAACGTTCTTTAATTTTTTTTTTCTAAGACCCACATGATTTTTTTTCACTTTAGGATTTTTAGTCCCTCTAGAATTGTATTTATATCAGGCACGAAGCAGGGATCTCTGCCCAGTCCACCCCCATGACAGCACCTCAGTAGTCCTTTTAATTAGTACATGATGTCAACCCTCCGGGTTTTAGCCTCAGGCACCTCACAAATGATGCAACACGAGCAAGGAACACTTCCTTGTGCTGCATCAAAACTGCCTGTCCATCTGTTGGGCACTTTGACCCCGCTGAGGAAGCAAGGGCAGGGAGCTGTGTGCATCTTTTCTCAAGCACCTGTGCCCCCTTCCACCAGCATCCTTCAGAATGTTCCCCGGGACTTTGCTTTTCATGATCATACTCATCTCTCAGATTAAAGGTATGTCTTAATCTTTTTATTAGGGTTTTCTTACTAGGCTATGAGGTAATGTCTCTTTAGTCACAAAATTGAAACTGGAAATGGTAAAAACAGGAATTCCCATGGATGATTTCGCTAACATAGCATAGGACTTGGGCCAGTTATGACAAATACTGAGATTCTATGAGACACCTTCTCGGTCTTATATATTCTGATTTACACCGAGAAGGAGGAAGGAATGGACATTTCTGAATATCTGCAACATTGCACACGTCGAGCTGGCCATTGGCCACTTTGTACATTAGCACACGTAAAATTCTGAGTTACTGTCTCCACTTTCTAGATAAAGGAACTGAGAATAATATATACAGATCAGAGAGAATGGATATAGTATTTATGGTCACACTGCTAATAAACTGGTACAACTTATTTGATTCCGATAATAGCAGATTCTAAAATCCTATGGTCTTTCCTCCCTATTGCTCTTCAGGGAGGTTACCAGGGCTCATCTCACAGATGGCCACTGGTTGTGTAGACTATTATGTCCAGCACTGATTCAAGAGTACCTCAAACCTTTTTTAGCAAGAGAAAGACCTGTATGTATCTAAGAGGGTCAAGGTTTCAAATGCAAATGTTCCTGGGAGACAAAAATCGGTAATTTACACTAAAATCGGTAATTTACCATCTACAATCCATTCCAGGGCAGGCTGGGACAGGGGGCAGAATCCAGAGACAGGCGTGAGGAGACAGGCAACCACAGAACAAGGTGGAGAGATGGAAAAAGCCAAAGGACCTCATGGTTTTTTGGTCTACTTTCCAATTTTGCTTGTATTTTCCCAATTTGGAAATGACAGTCTCAATTTCCTCACCTGTGAATGGGGATCGACTTCCTAGTGATGCTGTACATGACTGCTAACTGGGGGCAAGTGAACTCTGTGAGACTATTCGTTCTCCAGTCGCTGTGGGTGAATGTTAATGCCGGATGTATTTCCCCCCTTACGTTTCCTTTTAGAAAAGGTAATCCTTGGAGTGGAGGGCCAAGAACTGGTGTATCCGAAAAGGCTTCCTCTGATGCAGAAGAGAGATGTTTGGCACATCCACGATTATGACATACAGGTACACGTTTGGATTGAATAAATTGGATTTATTGCATTCACAGGATATGTAGAAAGCCAGCTTGTGCTCCAATCCGAATGGAACAAGAGAGGAGTCTCAATGTTTCTGTCGACTCCCCCCCCCCCCCCCACGGCCCAGGGTACAGCGTGTGCTTGGTGGGGGGGAGGGTTGTGGAGGCAGCAAGCTTTTGATGGCTTAGGGCATAAGATGGAGTAAAATTTGGATTTTAGGGGGTGCCATTTAAAATCTTCCACTAACAGAGGATTTCCACTAACAGCTTTCCGGACTGATTTAAGGCAACTTTGTTTGTTCTGAGCTGGTGCCCGTGGAATGTAATCTCTGAGCATTTTGCTTTCTCAGAGGTGTAACATGCAGGTTTGTTTGCTTTACAGCAGCTTTCTGCAGCAAAGTTGGACAACTTTCACGGGAACACATTTGGTCTGTTGCTTAGAATAGTGTTTATTCAGGTGTTAAAACATAAGCATTTAAGATTTTATTTAAAAAAAAAAACCCAAATGTTTATGCAGACAATATGTAATACATATAATAGGAAACAAGCTTCAAAGTTAGGTAATTTTTCAACTCCTGCTACTATGAAAGGCATTCAATCACTGTCCTTAGATATTTATTACCAGGCAGTTGCATTGTGAGCCTTAGGTTTCTTACTTGGTCCATGGAGAATACTGACTGTCACTTTGCTCCAACACTTTTTGAGTGGGTAAACTTTTCCCAGGGCAGCTGCTTTTCTTCCCTCCAAGACTAGAAGAGCCAGCCCTCCATGCTCTCATTTGTTAGAGCACATGACACATTTCAGCATTCCAAAAGATCCCACCTAAATGTCTTTCCCATGGCTTGAGATCATGAAAATGCAACTCTCCACCTGCGGCCATCAGGAGATAACGTCTAGCCATTTTTTCTCTAGTTATCTCCTTACAAATTGTGTATTCTCTTGATCTCCAATTCCTTTATCACCTTCTTAAACGTTTTATTAATATAACATTGCAGGTCAACAATAAAAAAAAAAAAGCAAAACTTTTATTGGTTGAAGTTTGGTACTCACCCAAGAGGGCAAAGCCAATCTTTTACCACCATTGTGCAAATCAGGACTTATGTTAAAAGTCCCATATGGGGGCACTTGAGTGGCTCAGTCAGTTAGGTGTCCAACTCTTGATTGCTGTTTAGGTCATTATCTCACTGTTCGTAAGATCAAGCCCTAGATCTGTGTTGTCAGCACAGAGTCTGCTTGGGATTCTCTTTCTCTCCCTCTCTCTCTGTCCCTCCCCCTCTTGTCTCTCTCTCTCTCTGTCTCTGTCTCTCTCTCTCTCAAAATAAAAGCTTTAAAAGTCCCATTATGAGTATGCAAGATGAGCCTGGCCTGGGGCAGGAATTATACAAGGTGAGTTTGAAGCATCTTATACTACCAGAAAGTGAGGAAATTCTCAAACAACCCAAACTTGCATCGAGGGGAGTATGTCAAAAGAACATAGGAGCCAAAAGAAGGAGCTCCCTGTAGCGAAAGAAGGGACAATTTGAGCAACACAATTAATAACATAGTTTTGGACCATAAAGAAAGATAAATTAATGCCCATGAACCCATATCCCCCCCATAAATTGAGGGGGGATAGACGAATCTATTCATAAGAGTGAAAAAATTGACATAGGCACTACCCTTTCCAGGAGATGGACATAACTCCCCACCCTTTATGCATGGACTGTGCATAGTGACTTCTCCATAGAGAAGAACATGGAAGGGGAGAAACACTGTTACCTGGAAGTGGAGAAGGGCTGACAAATGTCACCTCAGTGAGCCGACCAAGGTTAACATCATCAGTAATAACTCATGTTGATAGTAGGTACTTTTAGTATGATGTGATGAAAATGGCACCTTTTTCCCTCAAATCTCCACAGTCCCAATCCAGTAATAAGAAAAATTTCAGAAAAACCTAAATTGAGGGACAACCTATAAAATACTTGATTGTTACTCTTCAACACTGTCAACGTTTTCAGAAAAATAAAGAATGTCTGAGAAACTGTCATAGAGGATCCTAAAGAAGCATGACTGAATGTAATGTGCTGCCCTGGATGGGATCCTAAGACAGGACTTTAAACAAAATTAAGGAAATCTCTATAAATGTATACATTAATTGATAATGGTAGTCTTGGTTCATAAGTTGTGATAGGTACATAATAGCCATGTAAGATATTAGCAATATGGAAATCTGAGTTGTGGGGTCCATGGGGATTCTCTGTATTATCTTTCCAACTTTTCTCTAAGTCTAAAATGATGCTAAAATGAAAACAAATTTGGGGCGCCTGTGTGGCTCAGTCGGCTAAGCGTCCGACCTCGGCTCAGGTCATGATCTCGCGGTCTGTGAGTTCGAGCCCCGCGTCGGGCTCTGTGCTTCCAGCTCAGAGCCTGGCGCCTGCTTTGGATTCTGTGTTTCCTCCTCTCTCTGCCCCTCCCATGTTCATGCTCTGTCTCGCTCTGTCTCCCAATAATAAGTAAACGTTAAGAAGAAAAAAATAAAAAAATAATTAAATTAAGTAAGATTAATACAATTCTAAATTAAATATAAAATCACAAAATTCTGTTTATGTAGAAACAATAGTAATGACAAGAATAACGATAATGCCACATTTGACAATATTAACAATAGTGTCTGAATATTAGCTAATACACAACGTATACGGTTCCTCGTGTTTGTAAATGCAATTCCACCCTTCTTATTTGAATAAACACCCAGGTTCTTGCTGGCCCACTGTGAATTATGTGTTTATGATAAAGTCCTAATTTTACTTTAAACTTGCAGTCAAAAATGCCCTCATGCACATCTCACATTCAACAAACACAAAACTCCCCTCTCCTTTCCTCAAAGCTGCCCCTTTTCAGAAGACCCTCATTTCAATAGCATAGTTTAAACAAACTAGAAGCCTGAGGGAATTCTTCACTCCTTCCTCACTTGTGCCTCCCCCATCAAAGAATCACTGAGCTGATTCCAGCATGTAAGTAAATATCCTTTGAAATTATCGACGCTCCCCGCCTTATCATTGCTGCCACTCCCCTGCCCAAGTGACCTATAATCCGGCAACAGTCTTTAAATGCTTTTCCTGCCTACGGTTGTGATTTTTGCTGATCCATTACCCATAATAAGTAAACCACCTAAAATACCATACCTACTTCTGCTTTTTTTCTTCTCTTGGCTCTTAGGATAAGGTCCAAATCTTCTTAAGTGACTAGTTGTTACCTGATTTGGCGCCTTCCTACCTTGGCGTTTTTCGTATTTATTCAATTTACATTTGCTTTTCCCGCCATGTTGAACTCTTCTGGATTTCTCAAACATGTCAAGCTCTTTCTTACCTCAGAGCTTTTGCATGTGCTGTTCTCTGCCCCTGACTCCTCTTTCTACATCCCTCACACAGTCACTTCATTTCTCCTATTATGATGCTTAATAATACTCAGTTACATTTGATTGATTTTCTTCTTTGCCAAGCTATAGCTTCCATAAGGGCAGTGACCTCTATCTTGTGAACCATTGTATTTTCCATATGATCAGTATGCCTGAAATGACAGCTATTGAATACATGGGTGAACAATAAACTAAAGAAATGTGCTAGACATATGATCAGTAACTGTAAATCCTGAAATTATAAATAGTTCTTATGAATTATAAAGAAAGAAAATACCACAAAAGAAAATAGTTAAAGGATATAAATTAGGAAATCATATACGAGTATACAGATAACAACATAAACTAAATGAACAGAAGAAAAATATCACTCCCAATGGTCATCGAAGAAAACAATTTGTCACAATAAGTTATCAATTCATTACTGTTAACATCTAAGGCAAAAAACCAAGAACCACTGTAAATTTCTGGTGAAATTCTAATTTTGTGCTTCCTTTCTTCAGGTTATTTTGCAGTATTTCTCTAAAAGCTTTGCATTTTTTCCACCTTGCCGATAAAGAAATTATGTCTAACTACAGTGAATACCTCAAATCAAATTTCTGATATGGATATAGATTAAATAAGTTCACATTGTGCTTTTCAGCCATAAAATACGTGCTATGAAAAACACTTATTGGGATAGGAAAATGGTGATGGTCATAATTTATTTTTATGTGAGACAGTAGACTCTAAAACACTATACCCAAAATTGTTAAAAATACATAAACAAAAGCTCTATGAGCAGAGACTATAAATATTTTCCTTTCATTTCATTTTATTTTATAACTAGAAAAAATGCCCATCAAAAAATTTAACGAAAACATAACTTACAAGCAAAATCCTCCATATATTGGTTCTCGTTCACTCAGCCTAATCCGTATTGATCATTTTGTCTGGCCCTTACTGCTGGGTTGCCAGATAGATTGATAAAGTCTAATTTATCCCAGGATCCACCCCACTCCCCACCCCAACACACACCAAATGAGCACACGTTTAAGCCATGCGATGGATATTGTTTTGCAGGAAACTTATGAAGAAGAATTGTTGTATGAACTAAAGCTAACTAGAAAAACCTTAATACTTCACCTTTTAAAATCAAGGTAAGTTCTATTATAATTCACCACCTTATAGATGTATTAGTCTGTAGTATGTCAGCTTTGGTAAAAACTGCCAGCGAAGTGAATTCGTCAAGTCACTATTACCTGTATATATTCTGAATTCCTAGTCTTCTAATATAAGCCCCTTGCATTTCGACATCTTAACAACAATTACAGACACTGCCCTTCAGTTCCTGAGTTACTCTTTATTTGGAAATTTGGAGTCCTTTGTGAATCAGTGGAACAAAGGAAATTTGAAAAACATGGCTTTTTAGAGTGGACTGCTAAGTTCTTTAAAATAGATATCAAACCAAGTTCTGTGGGAGAATAAACCAGAACTGGGAAGAATTTACTTCAACAGGTTATCTTGTGTTAGCTAAATAATTCTAATGGCCTTCATTTCTTCCTTAGCTTTCTTTACAACTTCTGTGTTGTTATGGTTAAATTTCCATTGTTTTTCTTTGGGCCATTCCTATACACAATAGCTCTGCCTCCCAGACCCAAACATTAAAATCATGAAGAAGTATTAAATGCTAAGTGGAAGGGTAACTCTACTGAAGGTTTGGAGGGCACCTGGGTGGCTCAGGTGATTGAGCATCAGACTCTAGATTTTGGCTCAGGTCATGATCCCAGGATTGTGGGATCAAGTCTCATGTCTGGCTCTCTGCTGAGTGTGGAGCCTGCTAGAGATTCTGTCTTTCTCATTTGTGGATCTTCAGAAACTTAACAGAAGACCATGGGGGAGAGGAGGGGGAAAAAAAGTTACAGAGAGGGAGGGAGGCAAACCATAAGAGACTCTCAAGGACTGAGAACAAACTAAGGGTTGATGGGAGCTGGGGGAGACGGGCAAGTGGGTGATGGGCATGGAGGAGGGCACTTGTTGGGATGAGCACTGGGTGTTTTATGGAAACCAATCTGACAATGAATTATATTCAAATTTTTAAAAAATAAAAACAACAACAACAAAGAGATTCTGTTTTTCTCTCCCTCTGCCACTCTCCCAATTGCATGTGCGCACGCGCGCGCTCTCTCTCTCTCTCTCTCAAAAAAAAAAAAAAAAAAAAAAAAAAAAAAAAAAAAA